GTTTACATTAAGTTAAATGTTGAATTGGCTTTTTTTTTTTAAATTCACAAAAAATCAAGAAGTAGTTTCCCAGTATTGACATGATACTCCTCATATTTCACATTTAGTAATTTAAAATAAAACAACTTTTTACTATGGAATCATTTCCAAATAAAAGAAACAATTTCAAATTTTGCCACCAAAACATAACAACTTTGTAGACGTAAAGATTTCACCTTACTAACTTTGATGTGTCCCATGTTTTAATACCTGGACTTTTAAGTGTTTCATATTTTGCCACAAAGCTGTAATTTTAGACTGTTGACAGAGGGATAACCAAGATAAAGATTACTTGCTTCATCTTCTGATAATCCTATTTTGGATAATCCTTAAATGTCATTTGATTCAGTCTATCTAAATTAACCTTCAATGCTCTGTTTTAATATCAGTTAAGAGTTTTTTCCATTCTTATATCTCAAGCTTACAAAGATGTCGTTAAATGAAATTGGATGCCCTGCATTGATCATGCTTTTCAATAACATATGGTCACATAGCTGAAAGGCCCCATATCATGGGGTAAATTAGATACACCATATCAAGCTAATGCCCTCATAGGCGTATCTAATACTTACTACAATAATGTTTCCATATCTGACAGACCTAAAATTTCTGTCCCAGATCCCTAAATCTTTCAAGTTATAGATTAAGGAAGGATTTCAGAGGGTCATATACTCTCAAATGACAGAATATATTTTACACAAAAATAACTACATGGAAAGACAGTAAGCACAGTGAGTTTTCTGTTTATCTCCACATCTAAAACCTGAGATGAAGTTCTAATCTGCCATGCTCATCATCCTTTCTTGTTATTGCTATTTATGTACTTCGGAAATATTTTCTTTTGAAGTCCCCCTCTGTTGACAGAATCAGCATAGATATACATAAAGGGGGATCAAAAGGAAGTCTTATCAGTATATGTGTGCACTTTGTAGTTTGAGGAAATATTTTTGGTTCATTGCTTTTGAATTCCTGGATTTAGACTTGAATGAAATCAATGAAAATATATCATATGATCTTGTTTCTGTTTCATGAATAATCTTTAACATTATGATAGATGTAATAACTTTAAGAAAACTCAGATTGAAAAGTTTTTGATAGAGTATGTTCTTGATTTGTTGACAGAAATAAGAATTATATGAGTGCTACCAGTAGGTTGAAAGCCATCAACCCAATGCATAGTTATGGTGGGTAGTAACATTCATGTTTTGTTTAATCTAGCCATGAAATTCAAGAAAATTGTCACTATAGCAATAAAATAGTATATTATAATATATCTTTTACAACATTATAATGAAATGTACCACTAAGGTTTAGCAATCCAACTAAAGAAAGACTTATTACATATTTCAGTATTCAGTTACATAGAACAGTCATGATAGTAACTGTTGTTAAGTATAAACCATACCATCTAATTTCATGTTCAGACATCTGTAATGTTATAGATATTCTATCTTCTCAAATATTGCAAAACTATATCCACCATTGGCAATTTATACACCAGCAAAAATATTCAAAAACATACCAAAAGATTCAATTTTAGAGAAATATTTAGCAAATATTACTCCCCATCACCTGAGACTACTATAACACAGAGATTGGTCACTTCCCGTACTGACCAGTCAAATAGTAATTAATTGTAAGTCTTCGATCACGTGACTCGGCACGTGACTCGCAATGATTGACAAGAAGGATTCGACCGCCATTTTTGACAGCGAAAGAGAAAATAATAATTAACAAATGTGGATTTATAAAGAGTGTTATGTTCCGGTAAGTGTGAATATAAGATTTGACATGTTCATAAATGTTGATTTATAAGCACTTTAAATAAAATAAGTGCAGTTATAGACTTGAATTTACCGACCAAACCGGAAAGTAACCTCGAGTTATTACCAGTCCGTGGGACAGGGTCAATGAGCAACTCACCCATAACTTACATTCAGATGAACAATCTGTTTTCCGGATAATGTATGTGCAAGCCTTAGTAATTAACCAATGTAATGATGTAAAATTTGTAATTATATGAAATTCCAATTTTTCTGTATCAGTAAGTTCCCGCTGCAGAACTGAGAAACACACGAGACAAGTTGCACACACACAACATGAGGTCTGATAGGTGAATTTGTATTGTTAGTGAAAGAAATTTAGATTTATATTTGGTTCCCTTGATAATATATATGCAGTCTATACATGCTAGTATAATAATATTATGCAACGAAAATGTGTCACCATGTGAAATACCAGTACATCATGAGTTCCTAAATAGACGTATTTTTTTTAAATAATTGACCCAAACATGATGTAAAAAGTACATGCACCTTTGGTCTGCATCCTTTATCAGTTTAACTATTTTGATCCATATTGACATGATTGGTCAATTACTGCTGAGTCTCAAGTCTCAGATTACTGTCTTAAAAATTAATGAATTGCCTATGCTATAAACTTGACAAAGATTATTTCTTTTTATTTATAATATATTCTTTATTGTAGGAATACCCCCAGAAAGAAATCACGCATTAGAAGAAGGGAGAAGTACTACAGGAGAAAATGACTTTTTTTAGTATTTTTTTTAATTTCATTGAATTTGTCATGCTTGTCTTACATGGAGAAATAAATATTTAAGTCTTTGAATATACATTTTTATTATTATATACATTAAAACTAAGACAGGAATGCAGAAATTCACTACATTGTGTAACACGCTCAGTTTGGATAACAGTTCAATGAAAGAAAAAAAACAAGTAACCACACATCTTTATATATTAAAGGAATAGCCACTTGAAGCAAACTTTAAGGAGATTTTTATATATTTTTGCTAATGATCATCAGACAACTCCTTTAGTCCAAATGAAGTTCAATGAAGTGGATGTAAGTTATTGGAATGCACCGTAATTACCTTCAACAATGAGAAAACCTATACCGTGCAGTCAGCTTCAAAAGTCCCCGACATGGAAAATATATAACAATTCACTAGAGAAAACGAAGTGTCTACAATAACGAAGCAATTTACGAAAATTCAAATATGACGGACATGAACCAACAGCAACCACTGAATTACAGGCTCCTGACTTGAGACGGGCACATAAAGAATGACAATGTTAAATATTTTTAGGCGCTCATCACCACCACTAGCATGGGACATTGGTGTAACGACATAACATAAAAACAAACTTTAAACATAATTTGAAAATAGTTCATTTCGGTTTAATCAGGCTGACTGTACATGAAATATTTGCCATTGACAAGCAGTTGTGAATCGAAGTTGAATTTACAGAAAGGTTATATCAATATATGCTATCATATTTAACATTCTTGTTTAGATCTGACATTGCTACGTATTTATACATTCCGCATTATTTTTGGCTTCTCAGAATTTTCACATGGTAAACTCAGCAGTTACCCAACAAAAAAATGTTATAGGAAACCTTTTTACAAAGCATCATGCCGACAACAATTAACATGGTATGTCACCAAACATTGAACAAGCACATTTATATTTGCTGTGGCTAAAAAAACTAAAGCAAATAACTCTTTTCATCTGAGTTGCTCAATTATTAGGGTTACAAAAAGCATAGCGATATAACTAAAACATACGACACTTTAACAATAGACAATATTCAAATTTTCAAAAACTTTACGGCTCTGTATTGAAGCACAAAATTTCTTGTCTGGGATTTTGAAAGAGGGCACATATTTCTGGTGTTGAAAAAATGTCATCGTAAATTACCCTAATGTGGTTCTATTTATGTTAACATAGAGATAATTTGATTATTCAGCCACATTTACGTTGGATAATCTGAATGAGGGTCTGGATGGGGGTTCTTTATTTCCTATAATTTCTATGCCATTTTTCTCTATTCTTTAAATCTTAATAACTTATTATTTTCTCTTCTCTATTCTTTATTTGTCGGTCCATTTTTCTCCATTCTATACCTTTTTTGCCCCTATTTCTCCATTCTATAAAACCCCATCCACACCCTCCTGAATCCTACCACAAGTGCACCGACGATATTTGACAAGGTTTACTACAATAAACATGTATATTGGGCACTCAGCAGTGAAATACCTTACAAGTATAGAATAAAAGTTTACTGCAATAAACGGAGCCTCGTGTACCTTGGGCACCCAGCTGTGAAACAAAATTCATCTCCCATGCTTTTGAGACTACCTGTCTTTACAGGTAAAATATTTGTATATTAGATACAATTAACGGACGTGTAGCAAAACAATGTAACTGTTAGATTGATAAGATTAATCACATTCACATTTTCAAGAGTGGCCGCATAATAACAAACTATTAACAAATTATTAATGATTAAAAACAAAAATTTAAATATGAATAGAGATAACTGCATTTGAAAGATAAAAACTATATTCTTTTTTTTTTATTAATTCAATTTTGTTTTTAAATTATTTTTAAAAGAATAATAATAATATCCGATACTGTTATAGTATTCTCAGTGATAGGTGATAAATGTCGTCTGCTACGGTCGAATACGAAACTACGTTAAAATAACGTAGCTAACTACCGGAGACTCAGATAATCCGATAAATCTATAGTGACCAATCTCTGTGTTATAGTAGTCTCAGCCATCACATTAAAAATATTTTCCAAAAAAGTTACTTACCATATATAACCATGATAACTTAAGTTACTTAATTTGTGAATAACCCCTTGTCCATTCTTGTAATATAACCTCTTTACTGAGATTCCATTTTTCGTGTCATTGATATCCTGCTTTTGTGGTGGAAAATCAACTCATGTAATACATATATTAATATTAATATATTTATCAAAATAATTAGTAATCATATAAATTATGATGTATTATATCCTTGTCACAGGAAATAATGTATCAAAGATTTGCAGAATTAATCTATTTTTACAAAAGGTATGTCTTCTTTGGTTTTTTTCATATACATTTAAGAATTACACATATAAATATATATTAAACTGAACATACCTTTATTTTCAAACTGAAGTTGTCACTTTTGAATGCAATGATCCTTGTTAAAACTATAATATTATAAACTCCACACACATAATCTGTTATGAATATATTATTAATTTTACATCCATTGAATACTTCCAGTAATATTATCCATGATAAATGTAATCTCCAGTGCTATGACAAAGATTTCTTGTTTATCAGCTGATAGTTATATACGTGAAGCTGTAAAAAGGAAATCAAATCTTACTTAATTAAGCATATATTTAATTGAACAACTCAAACTAATTAACAAATGATTTGATCACTTTTAATCCAGTTTGCTAATTAAAGCACATATTAATGTCACATATAAACATCAAAAGGATAGACAATACCACATTTATGAGTTTAACATTTTAAACAGGTGTATAAATTGAACTCTTTCTTGCACTAGACATAAATGAGACAAGTTAATCAATTTCAAAAATTCTTTTATCTAACTTTTTGTTTATTTATCAATCTGTTTATTCATATATTTACCATTTATATTTTATCTACATGTTACTTATTACTTTAATCTTGATGCTGTTTTGTCCAAATTAAACATGCCAAAAATTAATTACCAAACAGCCCAACCAAAACCTGGATAGTTCCTTTTTTCATAAATTAACAAAAACTAAATTTCAAAAAAATTATATTGGAAGAATTATTGGCATGCATAGGTTGAATTTATATTGGTATATACATTAAGGACTAAATATAAACATTCTTTATATACATTCCTTGGGGAAACAATCAAGTCTACATATTTAACCAAAATATATTCCAGGTCAAAGAGCAACTTAAATGTCTATTCTTTTTTTTTGTTGGAAATATAACAATGCAGACATGCATTCTTACTTGTAATTACAAATAAAAATACATAATTTTTCACCAGACAACAAATTTTATCTCTTTTTTTATAACACAATGCCAAAAATGTAAACACTGGTTAACAAAAGTTTGGAAAATGACCAACTTAATTCTGACATAAAAAGATGACTACTCCTCTTTTTTTGACAATTTGTCAGGTTTTTTGATAAATTTCCATACATGCATACGAGTGAGAGAGAAAAATCAGTTTTATGTTGAATAATCAGAGGAAAATATCTGCCTCAAACAATTAAAAGATTCAGTTCATTATTTCTTTCAAACTACAGCCAAATCCTACCTAATTCTCATTTACATCAACAAATTAAGGAAACATCACAAGCTTTTCTTTTGTGTACTTTATACAAATTATGACATCTATCTAAGGTTATTTATGAAATTAGCAATAAATGACCAAACATCTTCTCTTCTCTATGTGATTTATTAAATGTTGTCTTGTAATTTAGCCTTTTTTTAGGCGGATATGTTTAGAGCAAGCCATAAACAAATCCAAATGAAAAAAGAATTAAAAAAGAAAGAAAATGACGAAAGTCTGATAGTCATGAATTTCAGGACAATGACGTAACGTTATTATCTGTTTATGATGGAAGGAGATGAATATAGAAGAACAAAAAATGAAAATGAAAATCTAGGCCTATAACTTGCATTTCAGAATATTTAAAAAATACACATGTAACTTCAGCCAATAACCATGAAAATATGTGAAACTAGATATCATTGAGATGGGAGCCATCTCTGTGGGCCCCGCTGTGAATAATGTGTGGTAAAAAATTTGTAAATTTGTATCTTTATCATTGGACATGGGGTTGTCAAATGAAACCAAAGTTTTTGACCTTGACCTTTGACCTAGGAAGTTGTACATAAATTATGACACACCCTCTGGTGTTGGTTTATATACATATCAAGTATAAACTTTGAAATCATAACGGTTCTCAAGATATAGAGCGAACACAATCTTTACCATAGGACATGGGGTTGTCAACTAAAACCAAAGTTTTTGACCTAGGAAGTTGTACATACATTATGACACACCCTCTGGTGTTGGTTAATATACATATCAAGTATAAACTTTGAAATCATAATTCTCAAGATATAGAGCGGACACGATCTTTACCATAGGACATGGGGTTGTCAACTAAAACCAAAGTTTTTTACCTTGACCTTTGACCTAGGAAGTTGAACATACATTATGACACACCCTCTGGTGTTGGTTAATATACATGTCAAGTATAAACTTTGAAATAATAAAGGTTCTCTAGATATAGAGCGGACACAATTTGTTACGGACGGACGGACGGACAGACTGATCACTATAGGGCGGCCGCCATTCGGCGGGGCCCTAATAAATGTAAATACAAATGGGCAATAAAAAATGTGCAATAAAAAAAGTGCAATTTTTGATTAAAATTTAAAGTCAAATGTAGAATCATAATTATATTCTTCATTTTTATGGAATTTTCTAGGATACAAAAACTAGTTATCTTGATAAATTCTATAACATTTTAAATAATATCGAAAATTTCACATCTCTAACCTCTGTTCATTCTAATTCAAAGAACAGAGAACCCTTAAACTCCTGTGAAGGAAGGAAATGGACATACAGACAAAAGGAAAAAAGAAGAGAGATTCTCCTCCAAATAAGGCACTGGTATAGGAAAGAAATGAAAGTTTGTGAAGCTTGATACCACTGTAACAGATTTTTACTGTGGTTTAAACAATTATTCAACAAATATTGACATTACTTTATACACCTTGTGTGTATTCAAATAAATTCCAATGAAAAAGCAATCAATTCAAATAGGATTATCATATTTCTTTGATCTGTATGTTCAGTACAATGAGGGTCTAAAATACAATGTTTAGAAAAGGTCACTTAGAGTCAAAATACAATGCATCCATCCCCACCCTAATGACTACATGAAGACCTGGAATTCATTTGTTTATGCTTTGTTAGATAAACAACAATCTGTGACCCTTGTTTCTAAAAATTTGTAGTGCTATTTTATTTAAAAATTGTTTACAATTATAATATGAAATTTCAAGGGTTTGCAATGCCTGTACAGTTGTATATAAATTGATGAAAAATATAAGTAAATTGGAATCCTTTTTGCTTTTAGCTATTAGTTTCAGTTGATATACATGCCATCTTGAAACAATAACTAAACAACAGTTAGCTCTGATTGGTTGCTTATTGGTGTGCCTTAATAAGATTCCATTGGCTAGAATGAGTTATAATTTTGGGAGGATGATAAAAAGGGGAGAAGAAATAATATACAGATAATCTGACAGTATGGGTATTCGAGCCCTGATCAATGAATATGTTGTTGTAGAATAAGATATTGCTGGATAAGCTTTGACAGTCGAAATTGATACCAATGCATGCATGTATATTAAACCAAGTCCTCTGTGTACGTTTTTTTATATTTATATGAATCCATAATTGAAAAAAACATATTTCATTCATTGATTATTGATCTAAAAACTTAAGACTACTAATCAACACTCTGGTTTTTGTGCCGTAGATGATAGTAGATGTATCATCGTCACCTTGATAAACAAACACCACAGATTCATGGTGCATGTGAAAAATAAGTGATATGATAGACCATTTTTCTTTGTTTTTCTATTAAATTATCCTTTCATTACCATTAGTTTATTTAAAAGAAAGTCTATGTACATGTGCTTTATAACAAAACTTCAAGCATTCCAGCAAATAAAACATTTTCAACTTTGTTGTTAAATTTGAGTTATCATATGATGTTATAAACTATCACATTTAAGAATGGGTCTAAAACGGCACTTTAAAAAACAGTACAACAAAACAACCAACACACAAGTATATATCAGTAACCTTTGGAACATGGTTAAATTAAAGCATCAATTTATGAGTTACTGTAGCTGTGTACTGAAGGTGATGATGAAGTGGAGGGTATCAATTTACTCGTACCTGACAGAAGACTGAGAAGTAATCAAATTCATTGGAGAGAGTGAAATTAATCAGTCAGAATTAACGGCATTGTGTCAGTCTAATCAATGAGATCCGAATATAACCTCAATAATTTGTTATTTTATAACTATTTTATGTTATATTTTCCTTTCACAGTCCTGTATTTGTGACAGATAAAGGCTATTCCCTGTAAGGTTGCATTTTGCATCATATAACTGAATAAAAATATGAAACTGGAACCCTAAGAGTATCCACAAATAAAAAAAAAAAAAAACCAATACCTCTGAAAAAAAAACTTCTTTTTTCTCTAAAAATCACCAAAAAAAACCACAAAAATAAAAACTGACGTTAATTAACGATACTGCAAAACACCTTTCTGAAAGGTTAAACTTGTATACCTTTAATGTCACAAATGTGACCTTATTTATGACCTTTTAAAAGGGTAATTTCTGAGAATAAGGAAATAAAGAAATAAAGATAATTCCAGGTTTATCCTTTACTTTTATATGTACATACATCAACTATTTCATCTTGACTATCAATGAACAAGATAGAATTTTTTTTTTAAAAGCTTTCCTTTAATAGATGTTGAGCCATCATCAACCAAATAACCTTTCCTCAGTAGGATGTTAAGCCATCATCAACCAAACAACCTTTCTTAAATGGATGTTAAGCAGCAACAATCTTTCCTTAAATGGATGTTTAGCCTTCATCAACCAAACAACCTTTCCTTACTAGGATGTTAAGCAGCTATCAACCAAACAACCCTTCCGAGCTATTTTCCTAATGCTTGTATAAATGTTTTCTCAAGCATTGTAACTAAGATTGACATCTGCAATCAACAGTTAGGAGTAGCTTCAGCTTGTATAATGTTATTGGATGTTAAGTATAATGCAGAGTATAATGTATACAAGCTGAAGCCTCGCCTATCTATTGATTGCAGATGTCAATCTTAATTACAATGCTTGAGCAAATATTATACAAACAAAGTAAGCAAGCCAACCAAACCTTCAAACTACAAGCATAAGAAAAATAGCTCTAAGCAGCCGTAAACAAACAATCTTCCCTTTAATGGATGTTAAGCCATCAGCAACCAAACAACATTTCCTTAGTAGGATATTAAGCAGCCATCAACCAAACAGCCTTTCTTTAGTAGGAGGTTAGACCATCATCATCCAAACAAACTTCCCTAAATGGATGTTAAGCCATCATCAACCAAACAAAATGTCCTTAAATGGATGTTTAGCCATCATCAACCGAACAACACTTCCTTAGTAGGATGTTAAGCCATCATCAACCAAACAAAATGTCCTTAAATGGATGTTTAGCCATCATCAACCAAACAAAATGTCCTTAAATGGATGTTTAGCCATCATCAACCGAACAACATTTCCTTAGTAGGGTGTTAAGCAGTCATCATCCAAACAAACTTCCTCAAATGGATGTTAAACAGCCACCAACCAAACAACCCTTCCTTAAATGGATGTTAAGTCATCATCAACCAAATAACCTTTCCTCAAATGGATGTTAAGTCATCATCAACCAAATAACCTTTCCTCAAATGGATGTTAAACAGCCATCAACCAAACAACCTTTTGTTTGTAGTATGTGAAGCTATCATCAACCAAACAACCTTTTGTTTGTAATATGTGAAGCTATCATCAACCAAACAACCTTTTGTTTGTAGTATGTGAAGCTATCATCAATCAAACAACCTTTCCTTAAATGGATGTTAAGCAGCCATCAATTTAATAATCTTCCTTATGCGGATGTAAAGAAGCCTCCAACTAACCAACCTGGGGAATAAAAATACAAAAACTGTGAACATATTAGTTTCATTAAATGATGAAACTACAAAACACCGATTCAGAAGAACCTGGGGTCTACTTATACCCCTGTCCCTAGAATTAAAGGCTTTAATAACAGGTCTGCTTTATTTCCCTTTAATAAATTCTAAATGAAGACACAAAATGAAAAAAATACATAATTGTATTCATTCAACCTTAAGATCACTACATAGGAATCCTGAAAGAAGTAACCAATTATAAGATTTAAAGCTGCAATAGCAACAGAGGAGAAACAAATATGTAATTCATTGAAGTCTCATATAGGAATCTGAAGTGCAAAAAGTTAAACAATAGAGAAAAAGTGAAAAAATAGTTTGACTGGAATTTATCCAGTGTGTTGATTAGAAATGTTTATTTCAGATTATATTACTTTACAGGGGATTAAACATTCACCATATTCACCCCAAGTTAAATACCATCTTAGAATTCCTAAAATCAGATCCCTAACAAGAAATGAATGATCAGTCTGATGGCAATCTTATTCTAAGGAAGTATGAATTGATCTTATATCATGGAAATATCATTTTATGAATGAAGATACAGACACCAACTGCAAATGGGTCCTCTTCCAATGCTGAATCTTACTGTAGCTATTGGTAGCAGAAATACACTTACCATTATCTTGCTTTACAGTAAATGAACAAAAAAATGATTTTTGTCAGTATTAATATATATTTAAATGATTAATCAACCGCCTTTTTCCATACCCCAACAGACGATAAACATTCATCATGAAAGCTTTTTAAAACAATAAAAAAGCAAAAAAATATTAGATTTTTGGCAAATTTCACATCAGAATACAATATTCAAAGCAAAGGTCAATTTTAAAAACAAAACAAAGAATTTAGATTTTTAACAAATGATGTGTTCCAGTACTTTAACAAAGTCAAAGCCTGTTATAAGTATAAATCATATTCAATTCCACATATATTAGTCTGTAAGTACCTGATTATTAGCTGATGTTATCTAATATATCATCTATTAAAAACATTTCTGAAATGTCAAAAATTCAGGTAATTTACATAAATGAACACCTACACAGTGAAACCTGAAGGCATTGTGCAAGATTAAAGAAATTAGAAAACAGGTGTTCAATGGAGATTTAAGGTGATTAACCAGGGTGGGAATCAATTTACAGATGTATATTTCTGTCAATCAAAAATCATGGTAAAGTAGGATACTGGGTACTTTATAATTTCTTCAAACATAATTTACATCTTATAATATAAATATTTAGACAAAAGAGGCATTAAAATCCATAATTTTTTGGAATGGCAATAAAACTTAAGGTCAGTCTGGAGGCAGGATCAACAGACATATACTTTTTGGGGAGTACGAATACAGAAAATCTAAAAACCAGAACAAAGGACATCAAAGGTACAAAGAAGTATACTTTAGAAAGGTGAAAGTAAATGTAAGTTACTATAAATTCAGAAATGTTTGCATGCATCTATTATTGCAATTTTTCAAAAATGAACAAATGCTGCATAAAAATTATGGTCTGAAATTTTTTTTTTAAGAAACAGATTCCCTCCCAATATTTGCAATAATAATAACATTGCAAAAATATCTGAATTTACAGTATATACTCCACAAAATCCTTAACCATCCTAACTATTATCATATCTCATCTCCCTCAATGGTCCAGATCAACCTTCATAGATTAAAGCAGGGACAAAGTATCACAGATTGAGTGCTAGTTTATACAGTTTGTAAAGTTTAAGAGATTTTATCAAAAATTGAAGTGTCACAACATTACTATCTTATGGTTATCTTTTAATGACACACACAGATATTACAACTCTTGATCTATTTTATCCTTTTTGAACACATTACCACCAAATTTAATGATGATACTACATGTAGTAATACTTAAACAAAATACAGATACAGTTATATACACTATAAAAGAATCCAATTGTTCACAATTTTAGTGGTTGTAAAACTTAAGAAGGAAGTTTTATGAAGGGAACTGGTGAACCTTTCATTCTTGACCTTTAAATGTTTAACATTTTCAAATTATATCTTCAAACTAGAAATAAATTTGGAAATTCATGATATACTTAATTTTAATTGCAGCAATTCTTTCAAAACTTACAGATTTAAGTAAACTAAAAACGTAATTGACCAAGAAGTATAAGGTTGAAGAATATGTGCAAAACAACCTTACCTTATAGAAATATATTATACATCCAATTATAAAATTCCATACTGAAACAATGTTTCTTTCTAAAATTGAAATTGGCCAGTATTCAAGTCATGCCCTTATCAAACATCTAAAAGTCATTGCAATAACCCAGTCTTGGTACACCTGGGATCTCTTTACCTATGTTTTGTGTACTATGATTGTTTGTTTTTAATCTTATAGTAAAACTTTATTTACCTGGTATGAAAGCTATGTATCAATAAAAGTTGTTACCTGTATAGTATTTAGTTCATAACTTATTAGCTATATTTTGATAGTTTAATATACTAATCATGTTATGTCTGTAGATTTTAACACCTCTGAGATTTCTTTTTTGGTTCAATTTTTTCTAACTGCGTCACTAACATCATAAATAAATAATTGTTTCCTTATATCATTTGTAATCATACTGTCATTTTTTAGTAAATCTTTTTATCACACCAGTAAAAAATATAACATATACAAGAAACTTCCTTTTTCTCTGTCTGTCTCCTCTTTTACATTTATTTAACTGCTGATTCTTCCAGAACACCAAAGTCAAACCTCAATTTTTGGTGTGCTCATGTTGCTAAATCGTTAGCTTTCTGTGCTATGCTTTGTTGAGAATGGACTATTATTTTCATCAGTCTTTTACGTTTAATTTTTACTAATGTGTTTTGATTTCCCCCTTGGTATCTTCTTCCCCTATCTTGTCCTTCTTCTACTTATTTGTCCCTATTCTCCTACGTATCTTGTCCCTATTCTCCTACTTATCTTGTCCCTATTCTTCTACTTATTTGTCCCTATTCTCCTACGTATCTTGTCCCTATTCTCCTATGTATCTTGTCCCTATTCTCCTACTTATCTGTCCCTATTCTCCTACTTATCTTGTCCCTATTCTCCTACTTATCTGTCCCTATTCTCCTACTTATCTTGTCCCTATTCTCCTATGTATCTTGTCTCTATTATCCTACTTATCTTGTCCCTATTCTCCTACTTATCTGTCCCTATTCTCCTATTTATCTGTCCCTATTCACCTACTTATCTGTCCCTATTCTCCTACTTATCTGTCCCTATTTTCCTACTTATCTTGTCCCTATTTTCCTACTTGTCTGTCTCTATTATCCTACGTATCTTGTCCCTATTCTCCTACTTATCTGTCCCTCTTCTCCTACTTATCTGTCACTATTCTCCTACTTATCTTGTCCCTATTTTCCTACTTGTCTGTCTCTATTATCCTACGTATCTTGTCCCTATTCTCCTACTTATCTGTCCCTCTTCTCCTACTTATCTGTCCCTATTCTCCTACTTATCTTGTCCCTATTTTCCTACTTGTCTGTCTCTATTATCCTACTTATCTTGTCCCTATTCTCCTACTTATCTGTCCCTCTTCTCCTACTAATCTGTCACTATTCTCCTACTTATCTGTCCCTATTCTCCTATTTATCCGTCCCTATTCTCCTACTTATCTGTCCCTATTCTCCTACTTATCTGTTCCTATTCTCCTACTTATCTGTCCCTATTTTCCTACTTATCTGTCCCTATTCTCCTACGTATCTTGTCCCTATTCTCCTACTTATCTAGTCCTTATTCTCCTACTTATCTTGTCCCTATTTTCCTACTTGTCTGTCTCTATTATCCTACGTATCTTGTCCCTATTCTTCTACTTTTTATTTTTTCACATATTTTTTACCCTCATTTTAATTAGAGAAATAATCTCTTTTAGGAATTTCATTCTTTTCTCATACAGTGGTTATAGATATCATCTTTGTGTAATGTTCACCTATTTTCAACATGCTCTGAGGAATACTACCTTATTATATTCTCCCTCTTATTTACAGATGTATCATATTTTCTTATAAGACCCTTTTTTTATTTAGTTGGAATTACTTTACCTTCCAGAAAGCATTATATGGAATTGAAACTTAGAATGTCTTGTATCCTGTTTCCACTTATTTACAAACATTACCTAAAAAAACACTTTCACCATTTTTTGGCCCAAAATTTGTTTTTAGTTCACTTTGCTGATTTTTTACTCCTTTTCTCAATGGGTCTCTAAGGGCGCCCTAATAGAATATCCTGGACCCATCACTGAAAAGTTACTTGCTTTTCTATTCTAACCATATAGTATTTTAGTCTCCCCCCTAAAGGTATAAATATAAGTATGTGCATGATCACATATATTGATCAGTTCCAGTGGAATTTGATTGAGAACTTTATGAGTTTGTCACTTTTATTACGAAACATAACAGTTTTATAATACCATAATGATCTCTAAAATGTATATTATATAAATTATACTATATATTGTGACATACTTATAGTGTATGGTCAAAAAAACTTAACGCACTGATAACAGAGTTATTGTTTTCTCTTGTAATCCTAATAATTTTGACTTGATTTAGAATTTTTCTATATTAAGTTATGGTTTACTATCATCAATAACAAACAACAACATTTGTTTTACTTTTCCAATTTTAGACCCCTTTCTGCTTCTTGTAAAGAAAATATGCTAGAGGCTGTCTTCAACTGCAGTGAGCTGTGAGCTTTTGCTGTGTTTAAGGCATCATTGTGACTTTGATATGATGTACATGATCCTATGCTTATGGTTTCTTTCAAGTTCGTGTTGGGATTATTGTGTCACCATATCTCTTCTTTTCCATATCATTTAACCTTAGAAATTTACTGTTTAGGTTAACAAATTGACCACAGAACTTTAAAAAATTGAATGTCATTATTGGAATTATTATTTTTGCCTGCATCTTAAAATCTTGCTTAAACTAGATGTATGCTGTGAGAATTACATATTTCTATTGCTCCTGTTATTTGAAAGATAATCTGGCAAACATGAAATACCCCAGGGAATATTTCAAAAAATACATCTCATGGTATGCTTTAAAGATCAATGATGTGATTTGTAGTTGAAATGAAGGTAACAAAAATTACATATATGTAAAATACCAGTGCTTAGCAAATGGAAAATGCATAAACAATGAATATCAACTATATATATAAGACTGCATGCTTTACCTCCTAATGTCTTCTTTTATTCATATTCAGTATAACCTCCCATATTTAGAACAGTGGAGGAACTGAATTTTTTAATTGAAAGTTTGAATTCTTGTTTTCTAAAATTATAATGATTTAAGATGTTGAAAATTTAAGCTAAATTAGAAATATACATTATCCAATTTCCATATACAAAATTCAAATTTTTTCAGTTCTGCAGAAAAACCTGATTATGCTTTAATAAAAGGTGCTGGCCAGGCATATGGTTTCCCTCATGTTGATAATCAATTATCATTGGTTCGACATAGTATCCTTATTCATTTACATCCTTTTACATGTACTCCCAAGTTCTCATTCTAAATTTCAAATTCTCTCAATCCAATCTCTTCCTACAATAATGTCACCTGAAGAGTGTATAAGTTTCTCAAACTCATATGAGCATGTCTTTATAAAATTTTACTGTCTTAAGTTTTTACAGGAACTTTGAAATCAGCATCACAAAAATTACACTGATGACCAACATAAAATAAAAGCTTCTATCTTCTGACATACATATATTTACATATTTAAGGTACCTGGTCATTTCTTTAACAATATAAATCCTTCACAAAAAAACATTATTCCATGAAACAAAGGTCCACTAAGCTTTGTATGAGAATTTCACATGAACACCTGTTATAGGATTATCATAGACAAATTGTCTTTGGAGAGATTTTGTATAATCTGACCACAACTATTTACAGGTAAGTAAACCTCATAAATGTTTGTATTCATTGGTGTTTGTCATCGGTAATAGATTGAAAAGGAGATTAGGTGGTTCCATTCATAAATTAAATAGACTACACATGTATGTACTTTATAAAATAATTACTCTTCTATACTTTTTAAGGTCACATTTGACATCATGAAGGTGTTTGCTATTTATGTATAGAATTACTAGATATGACATTTTTATTCTGAAGTAATTTTTAAAAGGTTTTCTTTACTTAAAAAATGTTTATACATTTATTCCGTGACAGATTTTTGGCCAATATCTGCTCCAATTTTTAAACAGGAAATCTATTTCCTAAAATAAAACTTGTTTTAAACATTTTGAAGGCACGATTCTCTTGGTTTAGATCAGTTCAGGTGACATTTAGAAGTTTGATTAAAAATCATATATTGGCAAGGTTTTAACTTCCATTTAAGCATTTTTTCACTGGAATACATATTTTACAGGTTTCATATAATACTTCTCTAAGTCTTTGTATAATTTCTAATGGGATAAATTTTTTATTATAAACCATTATAAATCATACCCGTATTAAAATTTTGCATGCAATTTCCATCTAAATATATTCAGAATATAATATACTTGTTTTCCACTATAAATATCATAATCACAACTTGGTCACTCAAGGGACAACTTGGCAAGGACATGAAAATAGGACAGATCTGATTCTTTTAACAATTTTCTGATGAAATCTATTTGAATAAAAGAACAGAGTTCCAATGTCCCCCTTTTGCACATATGTTATCTATTCAAGGTACAAGAGCAATAACTAAAAAAAGCACTTTTTTTTTTTTGGTTCTATAAGACTTTTTATTAATATTTTAGAGAATTGAAGGCTTCAGAGCAAATGCAATGTGATTTCCATTATAATTAATATTTCCAAGGGGCATAACTTGTTAAAAATATTTGATCAGAACTTATTTTCGAAAGTGTCAAAGACATTGCTGATATAAACCTATTCTATACGTTTCATAAAATTCTGACAAGAACTGAACAAATGAGAGAGCTATCAATGCAATTTTCCATATTAATGTTTCCAAGGGGTATAACTTTTAAAAAAATAATTGATCGGCCATGATTTTCGAACTCTTCCAAGTCATTGCTGATATAATCTTATAAGTTTCATAAAAATCTGGCTAGAATTGAACAAATGAGAGCGCTAACGATGAAATTTTCCATATAATAAATGTTTCCAAGGGGCATTACTCTTTTAAAAATAAATGATCAGCACTGATTTTGGAACTCTTCCAAGACATTGCTGATATAAACCTATGATATGAGTTTCGTAAAAATCTGGCAAGAAGTGTACACGTGAGAGCGCTAACAAGACCCGATGGACATATGCACAAACGGGCGCCCTGTATTTCTATGTCCCCCGCAACACGTTGCGCGGTGGACAAAAAGAAATCAAAAGTCTGAAAACTATTTACATTTTCAGGTTCAAATGCAAATATGTTTTTCTTCAACTCTGAAAGATTTCCTGCCAAAATGTTTCCCAGAAGTTAATTATATA